GCACAGGTGTTGACATATGAATGAATTGGAACTTCAGGAATGAAAGTCCTAATAAAACCTTTATCTTGTCTGAGAAGTAAAAGTGGAAGAGAAAACACCTGTTTTCTTATATACTTGGTTGCATATATTTTCTAATCTTTACTTTTTCATTTGAACTGGGATTTTGGTCTTAAAAGATAGGAACATGGAGGTTTGGTTTTTCAACTTCTCTTGAGATACGATGTGCTTCTCCTTCTAAATTTTCTTACTTCTCTACCTGATGGGATGCTGCAACCTAGATGCAGGAGCACACAGCAGGAGCAGTAGGACACCATTATCCATGGAGTGCACGTCATGTCAGTGCAGAGCTGGTGGATACCTGATGTAGCCAGAAAATGTCCATAGGACACCAGGCGTCTTAGTCTACAGAACCTGTGAATATGTTACCTTACACGGCAAAGGAGACAGTGCAGATGTGATGATGTTGAGGATTTAAGGAGATTATCCTAGTTTGTCCAGGTGTGTCCAGTGGCATCACAAGGGTCATTAAAAATGTATGAGATGGAAAAGAGACTATGAGAGTCAGAGAGCGACTTAAAGATGGTAGGCAGCTGGAGTTTGGGATAGGGAAGGGATGACAAACTAAGGAATGCCAAGAAGCCAGGAAAGGCAGGATACAGGTTCTCCCTCAGGACTGCAGCAATGCTGGTGCCTTGATTTGAGTCCCAAGAGACCCATTTGGAATATCCAACCTCCAGATCTCTGGTCAAGTAAGACCATAAGACATCTGTGTTGTCTTAGGCCACTAAATTTGCTATCATTTATTACTGCAGCAATAGGAAACTGATACAGCGGCACAGTTCCAAGGCAACTTTAGAAACCTCCTGTGGATTCCATGCTCACCTAACCAATAAGCCCAACTATCAGTGCCATCAGCACCACTCAGAGACTTCATTTTCCTGATATAGGACAGAGGCAGTTCCTGGCTCCTTGGCTTTAAGAAACTGTCCTGTTTCTCCTCTCTCATACACCATCTCCCAGAGCCTAGATCTGTGCCTGAATGGTTTTCTGCTTGAAAATAAAACATTTTGATTATAGTTCAGTCTTTCATATTCTAGTTTAGTTTTTATCATTTCAAAGTAAAATAACAGATAAATCAATAAAAACAAAATAAAAATAGAAACTTACTCTCTGAATCTTTGTCTCCTGCTATGAGTATGTACTTTGCTTCTTCCTTACACTTAAACAGTTTCAGTCTCTCTTCATTATCTAACTTGTTGTTTTAGTCAGCTTTGCTTCACTTACAAAAAAAAAATTAAAAACCTTCACAATAATAACATAGAAGGGGAAAATCTTATTTTGATTCATCGTTTCAGAGGTTCAGTCCATGATACCTACTCCATAAATCTGGGCCTAAGGTGAGGCAGAACATCATGGCAGAAGTTCGTGGCACAGGAAAGTAGCTAAGGACATGACAGCCAGAGGCAGGGGTCACACAAGTTTGGTCTAGATGCCAGGGAAAATATATACACCTCCAAAGCATACTCCCATTGACCTATTTCTTCCAGCCACCCCCTGCCTGCATAAAGTTACCATCTACTTAACACATTCAAGTAGATTAATCCACTGCTTAGGTTATAGCTCTGATGGTCTAATCATTTCACTTGTGAACATTCTTTTTTTCTTTTTTTCCTTTGGGTACCAGGGATTGTTTGAACCCAAGGGTGCTTAATCACTGAGCCTCATGCCCAGTCTTTTTAAAAATATTTTATTTAGAGACAGGGTCTCTCTGAGGTGCTTAGGGTCTTGATAAATTGCCGAGGCTGGATTTGACCACCTAATCCTCCTGCCTCAGCCTAGTGAGCTGCTGGGATTACAGGTGTGTGCCACACTGCTGGGCTCTGAACATTCTTGCATTATCTCACACATGAGCTTTTGAGGGACACCTCATATCAGACCATAACACTTGCCTTCACCTCTTCTATATCCATTCATTCTCAATTCACTGCAATCTAGATTCTGTCCCCACACTTCCATGAGTACAATTTTAGTCTCATCAGTAATATAATTGTGAATGGCAACCAATGGTTCTCCGTTTTTATTTAACTTGACACATGTACAACATTTGACACTCTTTGCTATTCCCTCTTTGGCAAATATCTTTCATCCCAGGGAGTCTGTTTCCTGTTTTTACATGTGTATTTCTTGCTACTCTTTCTTTTTTAGGTATAACTTTGAAGTCGGTGCTCCTCTAGCTCCTTCTGTTCTCACTGTGCACACTCTGTCCAGTCAACAAACACTGAGAGTCTGCATCCTCGGTGCTGTGGTAGGTGTGCACCAGGCATTTGCATTCACTCCTATGGTTTCAAAAGGCCCAGAATGTAAAAAAAAAAAAAAAAAAAAAATCCCACTTGGCTAACTCTGTCCCAATTTCCTTCCTAAGCTGAAAACTTAGTGACAATACTACCTAATAAGGAACTCCAGCTTCATGCCCCTACAATCACAGTATACCCAACCCATCATCTTTATCTTATAAAAGTATTCTTTCTCCTCTATGCTGTATCTTTTGGGGGGCACATTTAAAACCTGGAAATCGCCCTTGTCTCTTGTTGCCATCATGCAGCCCTAAGCCCCTACATCCTTTCAGTCTTTAAATTTCATACATTATATTTTCAGAATACAGGGGGACAAGGTCACTAACTGAGAGGTGGTGAAATCAAGTTATGTCTGAGAATTTATAAAGAATGTAAGATAGCATTACCAAGAAGAACTTGGTAGATGATTAATTGAATGATTGTTTTCGTGTTCCACCTTCAATATATACTCTTCTTTTTTTTATTCAAATATATTTTAAATATTTTTATCCTAAGATACAGATGATATTTCTGTTTTCAAGTCCTAAATACACTGCTGTGGAGGAGAAAAGAGTCTTTATCACCTCCCACTGGATTGCTGCTCTGTGGGATCAAAGGTAACATCTTTCCCAGATGTAAAATTCTTTTGTGGAGCTTCAACCCTTAATCTCTCTCCCCAACTCCCTAAATTCCTGAGAGTAGTGCTCAAGCCAGGCTCTGGGTCAGCAAAAGCAAAAGTTATTATCACAACTGGCTGGCCTTAGGCCTCTACACGTTCCTGCCTGCCACTTTTTCCATTGCTACGGTGAAGGGTATTCTTTGCTTCATTGTTGAGTTGAAATTACAAAGAGAATAATTAATATGTGAAATGAAGTAGGCAGGATGGTTCTTTGGCTATGCAATTAGTGCAGAGGTTTAGAACCTTATGATTGGGATTTGAAGTGTATAGTTATTGTCTTAATTTTTTTTTTCAGTAGTGGTTACTGAACACAAGGCCTCAGGCATGCTGGGGAGCCTCTCTGCCACTGAGCTGTACCACCAACTCTTTTTCTTTTTATTTTGAGAAGAGTCATACTAAGTGGCTCAGGCTGGCTTTGAACTTGCAGTTCTCCTGCTTCCTGAGTAGCTGACATCACAGGTATGTGTCACCACACCCGGCTTGAATGTCTTAGCAATTTTGTCTTTGAATTTGTGTTGTGTTTGATGAAATCCAAAGGGACAACAGAGTATGTACTAGATGTTTGGAACCTCCAATTACCCATGGTCTTGCCCTACACCATATCCCCTGTTTCCTGATGGATTCTTGTTTACCTGCATCTCCAGTTCATAACACCCAAATCTTTTTCTTTTCCTGGCCACCTTGCCACCTTCTTACCACCCTTGCAGAGGTCCAGATACCAGATGGAGAAAGTTGTGGTGAGGAGTTCCCTCTGAAGTCTCAGGTCTAGGCACAGGCTGCTGTTCCCATCTCAGGCTTGTAGATTCATAACTCTTTAATGGGTATCTTAGCAGGGCTAAGTCTCTTACCACCACAGTGCAGGTATCAAGTTCTTTCTGGTTTGAAGATTGCAGTTTCTTGCGGGGTGGGGGGAGGGTCACCTCTCTGCCTTTGGTTTAGTGACAAGTCCATGAGTAAGACAGATGCCTGAGTTATCTTCTTTCCCCTGATCCTGGCCTTGGTATATTGGCTCAGAGACTGACAGGAGGGAAACCTGGTGGTCACATGGGTGGGTCACATGCATACTGGGGGTAGGGCATTCAGACAACTGTGATATTCTTTACTTACCCCACAAAAATTTTTGTACTCAAGGAGATGGGACTTTACACAGCATATAGCAAATTGACAGGTTAAGAGAGGCTATAAATCTAAGAAAAAGGGTTTATACTTCAGAAATTTTCATGACAAATTTTTTCCGCATTTTTCAAAATGTTTTTTCCCTTATTAATTTTTATTTTGCATGGAGTTTTGCAAATTATGTGGACAGACTTACAAATGATAATAGGTAATGATATTGTAAAATATTGGGTTAAGCTATGTTGGTTAAGCAGTTGAATTTGAAGAAATCTTTTTGTTATGAAAACCAGAAATGCTTCTAGAAATTAGCAGAGCACAGTGAAACATGTTTTACAGAAGAACTTATTAATTAGAATCATCAAAAGTAAGTTTCCTTTCATGATTCACACCTTACACTGTAGGGATTTCTTGTGGGGGGATTTAGGATGAGTGAACCTGATTGGCTCACTTCCTAAAGCATCCTGGGAGATGCAAACCTAATAAAAGGTGACTTCTCAAATATGTCATTATATGTAATTATCCTTTGCAAGTAAGAACTTCACAGGTGTAAAGAACCAGGTATTTGAGTAGCAAAATTTCTTCAATTATTCACATATTGTGATTCCTAGGCTGATGAAAATTCACAGTAGATTTGGGATTAACTAGGCAGTTTAGACAGAAATAACTATATGATTAAAGAGAGAATGACTTTTTGAGTTTTAAAATTTATTTAACTTTCTTCATGAATAAAATGGAAAAATGATACACTCTGAGGCAAGATTTCTAGGTAGCTGCTCAGATATGCAGTTTGATTCTTTTTAATTTTCAGAACTCAAAATAAATATTTCCTACCACAGAAGGGCAGAAATACCACAAGCATCAAATTGCAAAACATGACAAGCAACTTTTCCCAACCAGTTTTGCAGCTTTGCTATGAGAACCTGAATGAGTCCTGTATTAAAACTCCCTACTCTCCAGGGCCCCGGGTGATTCTCTATGCAGTGTTTGGCTTTGGGACTGTGCTGGCTGTGCTGGGAAACCTGCTGGTGATGACTTCCATTCTCCACTTCAAGCAGCTGCACTCTCCAACCAATTTCCTCATCGCCTCTCTGGCCTGTGCTGACTTTTTGGTGGGAGTGACTGTGATGCCCTTCAGCATGGTCAGGTCCGTGGAGAGCTGCTGGTACTTTGGAGCCAAATTTTGTACCTTTCACAGTTGCTGTGATGTGGCATTTTGCTATGCTTCTGTTTTCCACCTGTGCTTCATCTCCATTGACAGGTACATTGCTGTTACCGACCCTCTGGTCTATCCCTTCAAGTTCTCAGTTTCTGTGTCAGGGATTTGCATCTGCATCTCCTGGATCCTGCCCCTGGTGTACAGTGCTGCCGTGTTCTACACAGGTATCAGTGATGATGGTATGGAAAACTTAGTAAGTGCACTTAACTGTGTAGGTGGCTGTCAAATTGTTGTCAATCAAGATTGGGTTTTGATTGATTTTCTGTTATTCTTTATACCTACCCTTGTTATGGTCATTCTATATAGTAAGGTTTTTATGGTAGCTAAACAGCAAGCTATAAAAATTGAAACCAGTATGGGTAGTAGTGAAACAGAATCATCTTCAGAGAGTTACAAAGCCAGAGTGGCCAGAAGAGAGAGAAAAGCAGCCAAAACCCTGGGGGTCACTGTGGTAGCATTTCTGATCTCATGGTTACCATACACAATAGACACATTAATTGATGCTTTTATGGGCTTTATCACCCCTGCCTACATTTATGAAATTTGCTGTTGGTGTGCTTATTATAACTCAGCCATGAACCCTTTAATATATGCATTATTTTACCCGTGGTTTAGAAAAGCCGTAAAATTTATTTTAAGTGGAGAAATTTTAAAGGGTAGTTCATCAACCATAAGTGTATTTTCAGAAAAAGTGTAAGCATTAAGTGGAAGGAAGCTAGTTTCAAAATTATGTGCTTATGATGAAATTAAATATACAACATGAATAAACATAATTTGATCAGTTTCAGTCTCTAGTATTTCACCTTTTTCTTTCCTCCTCTCTCTCTCCTTGACCTTCTTCCTCTACCCTACTAGTCTCCCTTACATTTCATGAGATACTTTTTTCCATTTGTCTCTCTAGCTTCTAGGTAGGAGATCAAAATAGGACTCTGTAGTCTGGCTTATTTAGCTTAAGAGGATGCTCTCTAGTTTCATCTTTTCCCCAGCAATGACATAATTTTTTAATACTATATGGCTTAATGACACTTCATTATGCATGTATACTATATTTTCTTTATCCATTCATCTGTTGATGGAGACCTAATTTGATTCCATAATATGGTGATTGTAAGTTGCTCTAATATAAACATTGGTATGCATGTATTGCTGTAGTATGTTAGTTTTAATTATAAAAGGAAGTCTTTTTGTCAAAAGTCCTTGTCTGTTTTCCTCAAAATGAAATGCACTATTAGTACATCCCCACTCCTCTCTTCTGAACCTCATTTATTCACCCAAATGAGCTCTAAACGTCTTTGACAACTGCAAATCAAGTTACTGCACAGCCATGGACACGCTGAAGATGGAAAGCAACTTCACTCTGCAAGACTCTTCAAAATAACATCTGACCTTGAGACAAATTACTGAGCTAGGTATCTCAATCTTGGTGAGCTTTGATTCCCAAGTTGTTTGCTTCAGCCAAAGGGGGGCTGCAGAACTGTTGCAATCCCCTTATGACTGGGGTGTAGCCATAGAAATGCCGTGCCTCTCACATATATGTACAATTATTAAAAATACAAGATTGTTGTGATTGATAAAAGATATATTTATTTAAGCTCTTGCTTAAACCATAATAACTTAATCCATAATAGTCCATGTGTGTTTTCTCAATTTGGTAGTACTAAGATAACAACAAGTACATGATGTGGACCTCTGTGTATTTTTATGAATTTAGAAATGATCTATGGGAGTTACAAATAATTACTATGGTTTGCCTCAGTTTCAGTCAGGATTAGGATAACTTTCCCAATTATTTGGTGGTAGGACTATGAATAACCCATCAAGAACAAGTTATAAGACATCATAAGGGACGGGGGCTTAGCTCAGTGGTGGAGTATTTGCTTAGCATATGTGAGGCCTTGGTTGCCAACCCCAGCATAGTGAAAAATAAAAACAGAAACAAACAAAAAATACACTATAGCCCATCATTAACACGTAGGTTCTCTGAGAGAGCTACGTGGTTGGGCATTACTGTTTTTTGTTTGTTTGTTTCAAAACATCATTTTTTGGTGCATTATAATTATGCATCAGAGTGGGATTTGTCATAACAAATTTGTATACACAATTTAACAATATAAATTGGTCACTGTTGCTTCCTAGTACCACTCCTGATTTGGTATTACTGCAACAGAGTTTATTTATTACTGATGACCTAGTAGATGCTTAACTGAAACTTATGAAGTCATGATGTTTTTACAACCTGTGAACATACTTTACTTGTTTTTATTTAGTTATCATGATTTTGACTTATATCTCATTCTTCATTGTTGACTTACTGCAGCCCATTTAAAGGTCATCTTAAAGAATAACATTTCAGCTTTACATTTATATTCAAAAAAGCAGTGACTCATTAGTAATATTAATTTAAAAATCAAACTATTTGACATGAGTATTAAATGATGACTTTATGCCTTTGGATGCCTAAAAATTTATAACTTACAGTACTTTTTCCTTTATTTTTATGTTTTATTTTAAAATAAATTTTATTGTATATATTTGAAGTGAATTACATAATTATATGGGATCTAGAAGCATAGTGACATTGTTACTGAAGTGTTATAAATTGTGTCACATAGCTACTTTGTTGTTAAAAGAACTGCTAAAATCTACTAATGTTAACAGAAGTCCCTAATATAATAGAATTTCATAAATGAGACTCCTCTTGCAAGGTAGATCTCTAGGCTTATTTATACTATGGTTTTTCTTCTTTCCATCATTTGACCTACATTTCCTCATTACCTCCCCTCTCCATATACTAAATTTAAAAATTAATTATGTTGCAGTACATAAGCAACAATTTTGAAACATTTTTACCTATACACAGGTACATTTCTGTACTTTATAAATCATAATTTGAGGTTGACTAAAAATACCATGTTATTGTATTTTTTTTATTTCCAGAAACTCTGTGTTCATTATTTCAGTACCTAACACACTGCCTTGCACTTTTTAAGTTTATAAGGATATTTTTCAATTAAGTTAATGATCAGTTATTCTTTATTTTCACCTGCCAATAAGGATCTATTAGTCCTTTTACATGTAAAAAAAAAAAACTCTACTACTTTATTCTTTATTTCACTTCTATGATATTGTTTCATGTCTTATAAATATTCTGAGATAAGACTTTTATAGATTGTTTTATTCGAGGAACTTTCAAAACATACCTTTGTTAAGATTGATTTTCAGAAATCCCATAATTCTGTTAGGCAAACAGACAATTTGAGTATTGTACACAATGTTGGAAAATATATTCTTTTATAATTAGAAATCAGAGCTAAGGAGAAACTGTAGGGTTCTGTTGAAAGAGTGTCTTGTCTGATTCAATGAAATGAATTCAAAGGTAAATTCTTCATGTCAAATTAATAATTACATCTCCATGAGAGATAGCAGAAATACAAATAAACAGATTAATGATAATATATCTACATAAATGAAATGATATTTGTTTAAACTGCCTATATTCCATTCTTTCTATGTTGGTTTTTAGAATTAGCATTTTGTTTTTCTTATTGTTGATATTAAGTAAAATAATTATTTATTATTATCATTATTATTTGCAGTACTGTGGATTGAACCTGGTGGCTCTTTACCACCTATTACATCTGCAGCCCTTTTTTTTATTTTTTATTCAAGGCAGGGTCTTGCTAAGCTATTGAGGCTGCCCTTCAAATTGCAATTCTCCTACCTCTCCTCCCAAGTTTCTGGAATTATAGGACTGCAACTACACACCCAGTTCAATTAAAGGAATTTTTAACAAAGTGTTAAGCTTTGAAGAGATTCCATGTACTATATTTTGGAGCTGAGTTGTTGAGACCCGTGTCTGTCTTCAAAAATTAATGCTTTACTGACATTGTGAACCACTTATAAAAACCAGTATTTCCAGAAATAAGTCAGAGATGATTCCCCCAGACATTACATGGGACTTGACATTTATACTTTATTCTTTTCAAACACACACACACACACACACACACACACACACACACCACAGGTATACATGAGTCTAATGCCATAGGGCAATATTTCATCATTTCCTAAGGTCAATACTAAGCTAAGCTTTACAGACCATATCAACAATAACAACATACAAGGTCCCTGTAATGATACACGCTAGTTAAATTTGTGAAGTAGGCCAAACCCATTTGGCTGTCCTCTATCTGCCCATTTTCTACTTTTTACTCTCTCTTAGGAGCTCCCCTACATTTTCAGGAGTAACTTGCTTGTGTTATATCCCTTCGCACCAGTGAGACTACCTGCTAATTTGCTAAATAAATTAAATTTTTAAAAATAAAAATTTTTAATCTTTTAAAAAAAATTCTAATTAATTATACATGACAGTAGAATGTGTTATGATACATAATACATGAATTGAATATAACTTCTCATTCTTCTGGTTGGACATGATGTAGATTCACTCTGGTCGAGTAATCATATGTGTACATAGGGTAATAATGTCTTATTCATTCTTGTCATTCAGACGCAATCACTTGATGTCATATGGTGAAATATTCAATCACCACCTGGGGTTAGTAGCACACCAAGAACCATATTTCAAAAAAAGTGTTTTATCTGCCACTGAAAATAGCCTAGCCTTGTTCTAGAACCCCAGGTAAGTGCATTGCATTTCTCCAGTGGAGCCTCCCATAACATCTATACTGCAACTTTTTCTGCAACTAACACCTCTAGTACCACAGAGTTGTCAATTTGCATAGCTGTTATACTATATTTCCATCTCACTGTACAGTTAGACCCTGCTCTAGGCCCCACAAAAATCTGGCAGACAATTTTGTTACCCACTGTATGGAATAAAGTGGTATTCTTTTTTTCCCCCCCCCAGTTCTAGGGAATTATCCCAGAGCCTTATTCATATTAGGCAAGCACTCTAGATACTGAGATACATCCCCTGCCCAGAGTGGTATTCCAAAGCATGGAATCTGCTGCTTCCAGATCCTATAGAGTTCTACTAGGCATTATGTTTCCTTCTTTGCTGGAGGAGATATACAAGATGCTATAATTTGTCCTTTAATTTGAATGGGTCTTCTTTATCAACTTTATTGATGGCCCCTGAATCTTCAAATGGCCTATCTCCAAAATTCTAGTAAGCACACATCTTACCAAGCCTCCTATGTGCTAGGTACCACTTGCTCAAATGCCCTAAAGAATATATTATCAATGTTCCAGATCAATGTGATTTAAACTAGGATGACTAAACAGTTCAGACCGCTTTCCTGAAGAGAGATCTGAACAATTCTAGCAATGTCTCTCTGAGTATGCCATAAAGATGCAGCAAATAATAGCATCATTTTGAGGGTGGTAATACATCATATCAAGGCTGATTAGAGACATGGGTTGAGAAAATATAAAACTTATTGAAAATGTTGGTCCAAATCTGATGGGTCATCAGGCTGTTAGATATATAAGGCAGAATTTCTCAACCAATAATGTGCTGAAAATGGTTTCCATATAACCAGGAGATACTGATTCACTCACTACTCAGGGCAGTCAGACTTGGCCACTGCTCTTAGCAAGAAGACTCAGGCCACAATCAGCTGTACTGAATGGCTTCTGATATTGCCCAATGTGCAGGCAGGATCCGGCACTGTGAGGTCTTTTCTGCAGGTGACAAGCAAGGTGGGAAACATTCATTGCTTCCTATTCTTC